GCTCTTTTATAGCAAGGTACACACTACACAGCACAATCAAGCTATTGTTCATGAGCGCGGGTATGCGATGATGTCATGCTGTATAAGATTACAATAAATTCTGTATACACACTTGATTATTTTTGTTGGCAGACTTTTAATCTCCTTCCGTGTTGATAGTCGCTTTCAATATTTATTATGATTTATAGTTTACTTAATACATATACATTTTAGAGCAAAACTTCTGCATATCGATCCGACACTCGAATCAGAATTCCAAAATTTGCTTCAAAACTGTGTTGAAATATTATTCGTATAAAAATGGTACGAAAACTCAAAAATTTCATAATCATTGTGTTTTAATGTCAGATAATAAACCTTCTTATAAATAGTACATTATATACCAAGGTAGAGAAGTCCACTATTATTGCCTGAGCACCAAGATTACATCTCGAGGCGCTTGCGCCGAGGGGTGTAAGGTGCGAAGGCAATAATAGACTTCTCTACCGTGGTATATATACTATTTTTTTCACTACTAGCACTTGAAATCCTCTAAATTAACATATTATATTGATAAGAGAGTTAACGGTTGGACAGAATTGTTTGTTTCTTAATTTAACATGTCAATCAAGTACGTGGAAGTACAAGTCAAACAGGCCGTATTTTGTTCTGTCATTGAGATTTTTCAAAGAGTAATTTCGTTCGAATTTTTTCAAAATGTGATAATTTTAGGTATGTAATTTCTCTGGAAATTGCGAATGGTGGCAATTATTCGTTTTAGAGAACTTGTCTAAACGTTCATTGAGCGAAATTTCGGGTTGTGTTTTCTAAAAGTGACAGCGTGACAGTTCTCATTATTTACTACTAGTTAATAATAAAAAATTATTAACCACTTTGAACAAATGCCGAGAAAGCCTACTTTACAAGTGGAAAAAAGGTTAATAATCATGTCATCAGACGCTAGTAGTGAAAAAAAAAATTTAAAGCTCTATACGGAACAACTGACAACTCATACCTTACGTTCTGAATTCCATAATCTTGAATTAGGTACGTTTGTGTTCGTCCTTTTTACCGCGCCATAATTCGGAAACAAAGGCGAATTTTGAATTCCGTTTTCGGAAACAGTTAACTAAGGGCATTGCTAAGGGCTACAGTTCGTCGACATTAAACAGACAAATGGTTAGCTCATGTCAAAGCAAGCGCGTACGCTCAGGCATAGAGTAAGAATAACACTATTCGTATAATAAATACTGGCCCTGCCAAATTTGCCATGACACCACTGACTCAACAATATAGCAAATATTAACTATTGGACAGCTTTGAAAATGGCCTGCTGTATTTTGGTCGAAACATGTGCTCTAGGTAATTGTTCATATTTTCAACAATATTATACTTGATGAAGATTACATCGTTTTGTTTATTTTTGTGAACCTGTACCTTTTTCACAGATGGACACAATCGATTTTTCATATAGGAATACGTATTGACAGTACTAAAGTGCTGAATTATGTATTGGAAAATTTGAATCGATTTACTTTATCCGAGACTTTATCTGAAAATCTTAATACTGGAAATTTGCAAATACTGGTATAAACAATTTATCTTATTTTGAATCACAATGTAATTATTTCTGAGAGACCTATGATGACTAAATGAGATATTATTACCTGCCTACGATTCAATGTAAGGATGTCACATTAACCTTTAGGCCAAATAAAGTATTTCCCAATTCTAGAATTTCAGAACTGAGCATCTTGTCAAATATGATATTGGCATTCTATGAGACTATTGAAACGGAGGCTGTATATAATATGGGTAAAAGTACCGAAAGAATTTTATAATTTATGATTCTTTTGTCTATTTTACCCTCCCTATCTTCTAATGAGGGTGTAAGCTTAAAATCGTAAAACACCCGATACCTAAAATACAATGTAATTGTGAGTCGCAGGACGCGGACTAGAAACAGCTTTGCAAATGTAATAGATATTTAAATACCAATATATTTTTTGAATGCAAGAAAGACGTATATTTTGCATAGAATCTTCTCGCTGGACGGATCCTTTTACGTTAGGAAACGCAAATAGTACACGCAGAAAGGCGTTTTAAAAAGTATAGTGCCACAAACAGTCCTCACTTTTGAGAAATGGATACAATAATGAAAAAGTGTATGAAGGCACCTAAATATTGTTATTATTAAGCGGGTTAGCTTTAGTAAAAGCGCCCACCAGTTCTCAAAACGTACCGACTATCTTATGGGCAAAGAGTACCTAATTAAGTATTCTTTGGTACGGCCGACAGTTATGCACTATTTCGAAACAATAACGCCAATAAAAAAATCCGATTTTTGCAACAGTAAATTCTAAATTTTTTTGTAAATGGTTATATAATTCCAGTTAGGTATTCTGAAAATTTTACGCCCTTAATAAAATTACGTGCAAAGGCAAACGCATGGCATGCTTTGTCTCCCTCGCTACGGCACTTGTACGTTTTTGCTATGACGTCTATTACGAGAATCCTATATAATAGTGTAAAAGTGTATTTTTTGCACTACGCCTGAATCGACTGAAATGATCGTAATTTCACCTTAAAAAAATAAAAAGTGGACTTTTGCGCTCCTTACGTCTGTCTGAGTCACAAAGGCTCCGGAACTACACCACTTATATGCTTGGTATTGGTGCAATTCGATCAGAAATTAAAAATTATTTCATGTTTGTTTACTCGTTGGCATGAATGTCCATTAAGGGCTATTACAATCGAAAAAACAAATTTGAAAGTGCACTCTTTGCCTCTTGCTTAGCGGCTTAACGAATTTTTCACTTTGTGCCTTTGCACATGTTTCATCATATCAACCAACACAACCCCAAATGAATACTAAAATTTGATACTATCCTATTCCTGCACCGAGGGATTATAGCATACAGCAGCACTGAATTAAAAAAATCCCAATTTTTATATTCAATTATGATAGTTGCATAGGTGTATTGTAGTGAAAATACCTCGAACAACACGTGCTCTACATCTTTTACTTTTAGCGCTTTTCTTGAAGCAAAATGTCAAATAAGGCCAGATAAACAGGAACAGTAGTAATGCGTAACGTAACCTTCACCTTATTTTTAATCTTTATTTGCAGAATGTGATTTAAACTGAAGGCAGTTAAAATAAAAGAACAAAGGAGCTTTATTTCGCGATCTTTTTAACTACATCTTTCTCTTTCATATGTAACAAAGTGAAATGAAAAATTATAATAAATAGATCGTTGAAAAAAGCGTCACCTTAACTCGTGTAGTGTAAGGTGGCAATGTAATGTGGAAGGTTTGTAGCATGAGTCACTTTTAAAATCCGTGACAGCAACGCCCTCCCTTCCGATTGTCGCGTCCAGAACTAAAAATTCTCGATGTCCAAATCAGTTTCCCTTTTCCTTCGTAAGGTTGTTTCACTATTCTATTCTTTACACTATGGTACTTCCCTCACGGAATAGTTACGGACCAATCGAACAGAGCAACATCGCACTGATAATCAACTCCTCGTGAATACAGGAATAAATACTTAATTAAATAAAATAATGGCATAATCATCTGTACAGTATAACAAACAAACATGATTCAGGTAACGGTACTCAAAACAAAGGCATGGGGTACGCCATGATTCAGATATCGTAATTTATGCAAAATTAGCAAAATGTAAATAATATCAAATTGTGGCAAGAAATTCACTTATTAATAGCTAGTACAAGAAAGAATAAAATGGTTACTACCTGTAATTACACCTTCAAAACACCACAACCAAAATAATCAAGAATAAAAACCGGGAACGCGTGATGCTTTCCGTCGACCTCGTCTCCATCTTCTTCATTCTCTCCTAGCTTCGTTACGAAAATCCCCTAGTATGCGGCATTTGCGCAAAACGGTCGATTGGTTATATACAGAGCATATCATATTTTTGTTTTAGATGTAAAGGTGTGTTGCCTAACCATAAGGGTGCATTATCACATCTTTCTACCGTTAATTATACAAACCGTATAATCAAGGTTTCTGTTTGAATTTGCCACAACAATTGTCGCCACTGTCTTGTATAGAGTCACTGAATATCTAAATCTAAATGTGTTACCCATGAAATGCATAAGGTTCGCAACGATTCATTAACTGCGATTTTTGTCGTTTTATTTGGTAATCCATTTTTGGATTACCAAATAAAAATACTAAACAAAGTTTGACTTTTGAGCCTACTCACCCTACAAATCTTCACTTCTCATCAATAAACTTTAAAGATAAGGAAATTATACACACAGAAAACACCTGCACCGTTTATTAACGAAAGAAGCAGCTTATTTAATCATGGTCTACATTCTACATATGCAATTCAAATTAAGGACGAAGCATCCATAACATAACATATAGTCTTTCTCATAAACATAAGAAATTACGCAAACTTAAAATCATGCGTGATGTCTGGTGTCACACTAATATACCGAGTGTTCTATTTAAAATAACAAAATTCTGCCTCGTACCATATTTATGGAACACAAAAATAGTATGCGCATTACATATCGCACTAATGGGACACTCTGTATAGATTATTTTTATTTTTGTACTTCGACAACATCTTCATTATTCAGTAATGATCCAAATCCAAATACTAAAACTTATTATTCAATATACGAATTATATACATGATAGCAATGTTTAAAACTATTGTAAGGGGATTTGAAGAAATACCTGAAACTTGATTAGAGAAGGCGAGGCATGGTTATATTAAATCCAGAATGTTGCAGGTAAATTTATGTTGCATAATAGTTGTTAGATAATAATTTATTATTCCCATGTTGTATGGAAGATTGCAACGTCACTCAACAAAATTCTATTGGACCGCCATGCCAGCGCCAATTCGATTTGTCGAAACCGAATTGCCTGAATGCTCCGACAATCAGATAAATCTTCTGGAACATTTCTTTGGAGCCGTGAATCTGACTCAGAGAATATACAAAAATTGTGTGCGATTTCTCTAATGAGACTGACCTATATCAAATATTCTGGGTACACTTATGTCTATATTTGTTTGAACAAAGGTCATATCATTATCTTATCACGTTTTGTTTGCTTACAATAATAGCCCAACTTTGCGATAGTTACAATCGTAATGTTTAGCTATGTGTGCCAAACCACGCAACGAGGAGTCTTCCTCGCAAAAAATGTATCTCACCAAGCTCGTTTGTTTAGTGGTAACTTTAGGCACTTGGAAGTGATAAACGATGAAAATAACGTTGCTATCGTTACAATGAAACGCGCACCAGTGAATAGCCTAAATGCTGAAATTCTGTCTGAAATTTCAGGCCTTTTGACCAATTTAGAAGAAACCAAGTGCGCGGGAATGGTTTTAACATCGGTAGGTATATTTGAAAATTTTGGTTTTGTTTACGTTATATCATTGCAGTTTTCCGACAAAGTGTTTTGTAGCGGACTGGATATCAACGAGCTGTCTACATCGCAACCGGCGACGATCCGGACGCTATTTTCCACACTTTTGGAGGTCTTCATAAAACTGTACGGAAGCACTTTTCCAACGGTGGCCGCAATCACTGTGAAAATGTTGTAATGGTGTTATAGCATGATTGATAGTGTTGTTTTAGGGTCACGCGCCTGCTGGAGGTTGTGTTCTGGGTTTGTTCTGTGAATACCGTATAATGGTACAAAATTTTAAAATCGGTTTAAACGAGGATCAATTAGGATTTAATGCCCCTTCGCCAATTGTAAAATTGATGATAAACACAATCGGCCATAGAAACGCGGAACTGGCCTTAACATCGGGGAGACTTTTTACCACAAGTCAAGCACTGCAAGTGGGATTGGTTGATGAAATCGCAAAGGATAGAACTGAAGCATTTGAGAAAGCAGATGGTTTTCTGCGTCGGTTCGAAATGATACCGCCACTAGCCAGGAATTTTACCAAACAGAGTATGCGAAGAGCACTTCTGCAGGTGAGTTCTGTTACAACTATTATCCTAAATCAATAACCTATAATAGGTATAAATATTTTGATTACAGGACGTAACAATTAATCGAGAAAAATATACTGAAGGTTTCGTGTCGATGATCTCGCTACATGAAGTACAACAATCGATAGCGGCCTACTTGGATAATTTGAAAAATAAAAAGAGGAATGCCCATTAATTTTAAAAATTTTTTAAAACCGGTCAAGGATAACTTCATAATAAAATTTGTTAGGCTACACACAAAAAAAATTAAACTAACATCAATTGATTTGGGGGATAAATGATGATAAATTGAAAATTTTAAATTCTTAAAAATAACCCCATATGGCAGTACACTAAACTAAAAGCTATGTTGAAAAATGTTATTGAGCAACTTGAAATGATTTAATCACATGAAAGGTCTAGAGAAGGAGTGACGGAGGATAAGCGATGTTAGCGTTCCTTGAAATTATGCGATCCTCAAACAAACTTCTAAATACAACCATTGACCGATGAGCAGGTGTGTGAGGTGCCACCATCTTGTGGAAATCAGGTGCGCTGAAACGTCTCCACCCTGTATGTGAATTTCATATATTGTTAACGTTAAATGTTGGTAGAAATTTGGGATTGAGCACAACCTCGATCATATCGGTTAAATTCGAAGATAATGTTGATTTATCAGAATTATTTAATTATTTGATTTTGTTTAAATAATTGTTTTGTTTATTTTGTTTTGGTAATTGTAAATTTTAATTACGTGTTAAAAGACATGGAAATTATTTGTAAAAGTTTATCTCATGTTTTTCTCCTGTAGTCGATAAAGTTTTCTTATCGCTGCAAAGATAATTAGTTTCAAGATATGTGCCAATTTTGCCGAATGATATGGATTATTTCACTTAATAAAATTAAAATTTTACTTAAATTTAATTTGTTTAATCGATCGCTTGTTTCGTGTTCTTTTCTTCAGCTTATTGGTGTTGAATAAATTTGTTTCATCTGTAAACGATTAATTTTGTGTTTCGAGCCCAAATTACGACCTAGATAAGAGTTTTCATGTTAAACTTGTCTATTGTGTACCCGGAATTAGTATTATTAATTAAAAAATTGTTAATTCATTCTTTGGGGTTTTAGAGGAGGTTGAGGGTGCTGAATTTCTCAAATTTATGTCAATATCGAGATTTTCGTTGTGGCGGAGGATAAACATGCCGTGTGTTTAATTGAACTATCTGGACAGGTGTTTATGTGGGTGTAGAAAGTGTTTGTCATTGCACACAGCAGTTTTATTTGGCGCCCAACGTGGGGCACATAGCAATATGTGATTGGGTTTTGATTCATAACTCTTAGTTTTTCTATCAAGGCCTTCAAAAATCAATGCAAGAGACTAAAAATTAAGATTTTTGCAGTAGCCCTTTTTTACACACACATAGTATGGGGTTTCATACTACCTAAAATAATGTGGATGTGCAAATTCCTATAGAATTTTAAATTTAATTCGAAACTGTGGTCACAGTGCAAGTTTTTTACATCATGCGATTGCTATAGCTCGGGAGGGGTGGGGGGGGGGGGGGGGGGGTGGTGGGGATTGTACGACAAAAAGGTTCATATAAAACACATTTGTGATTCAATATTTTGCGCGATATTTGTCCGTGTAAATAGCAAATTCCGCGGATCCTGATAGCACAGGGCATGCTAGATTTCATAAGCTTTCTAAATATTGAATCACGAATTTCTCTATTTTTCATCAACCATAAGCATATGTTGTCGTACAACAAATTCATTGCTGTCTTCAAAGATCTTCAAAAAGCATAGGCATTGCATTTGAAAAACAAAAAGTTGTCTCCAATTCAGGTTAATTGTTGCCGTAAGTTTCAATATGCGACTGGAGAGATCGTAATGTCACATATAACATTTCACGTGCCTCGCCAAATAAAAAAGATATTGAGGCCAGAGGCCACCTTAATTAAACGTTGTGAATAACAGAGCCAAAGAAGCTCGAAATTTTCCACAATGTTAATACAAAAGTTCACATAATTTTGTCGAAATGTGAGGTTATGTTACTTATTAATTAGAGACGGTCTATGGAAGATGAAAGGGCCTTCCCTTTTCGAATGGTGAGGCGGTCAATGCTAGTCACCAGATGATACAGAAAATGCATTTGAAGTTATCCAAATGCGACATGGAAGTGTTCCACCACTTGTAATTTAAAATATAATGAAGAAACTCATAGGAAGAGGAAAACCAACAATGGTAAAAATAGGAGACACTGCCTTCTGCTTAGGACGACAGCCTTGTTGTTCCCGAATAAGGTCGGTAAGGTATAAACCTGGCTATCGTTGCGTAAAACGGAAGCTGTCAACGATTCAAATAAACCCTTATCAGAGCCAGTTGCATCGCAGGGTGTTTTTTCCAATGTTTGGTATGGGAATATCGTAAACGGTAAGAGATACAAAGTCGCTTAAATGGGCAAAGAATTGCAGACTTTTTGGTAGATCAATCTTCCCTTTCAGAGGTTCTTGCAGTTCTACAAATAACGGAGTTATGGCAAAAAAACCGAAAATGTCATTTTCGAAAATGCGCTGGGCTTAATTTATTTTTTAAAGATATCAACAAATAGTTGTAACAAACCCTTAGTTATTTTTTCTCAACTTTCTGATGGTGCTAAAATAAAAATTTTATGACTTGTGGTTTTCGAATAAATGACAAACTTTCTTTTCTTATGGACGCCATATTGGATTTGGATACAATCTAAATTTTCTGAGGTTAAAAACGCTTAGATAAGTTTTAAAAAACCCTCAAACCAGGTTGTAATGTTTGTTTTTTTTTAGTTTTAAATTTATATCCCGTTCGCTACTCGTTGCGCCATTTGTGTGTTTCTAGCGCAAGTTCGTTGTGGTTAGGTCAATTTTATCGATATTATATTATTATTTTACAAGTGATTTACGCCACGCAGTATGTACGAGATGATGACGCAGCATTATGTTAACACGTAAATTGAATTATTGCTTTGATTAAATGTTAATTACGGTTTTTGTATTCGATTTACCTGACGTGACAAACGGTAGATTTATTCTCGCACTACTTTTTCTTTGGCCCTAAACTCGAAGGAATGCATATTATGGGGAAAAACATAAACAATATTCGATCTCATAAATGCCGGTGGTTTAATATTTTAATACAATGATCTCAAAATATCACAAATCTGACACTGTAATATATAGATCTGGTATGTCAAAATGGGAATTTAAAATAATCTCTAATAAAAACAAATGAGAAGCCAACACGTAGCCGGGGAAAGTATTTATCCAAAAGGGCTTCCGCAGAAACAACGGAACTATAATCATTAAGTGACTTTCAAACAAAGTAATAATCACAACTCGTTAGTATCAAAAACCAAAATGTAATCAGACGTTAAAAGGGAAAAAACGACGAAAGCAACTAAATTTACCATTGAATTACGGTCGCAACCTTCTGAGCTCAGAGGACGCGAAACTGCAAATCTGTAAACAGACAGACACACAAACAAAAAAATATAAGAAGGGTAATGATTCGCGTTGCACAATATATCGCATAAGCAATGGTTAACGTAAGACACGAAGGGTTATTCTTATACGTAGAATTGCAATCAATACTAAAAAGAATCAAAAATTCAAATGACTTTACGACAAAACAAAATTTGGTTCGACTAAGGGTTGGTTTTTACAATCGGTATGAGATATCAAAATGTGACATGAAGTCTTAAGAAAAAAATACTATAAAATGTACAACTAACTGAATCTCTCTTCAATGACAAAGCAATCTTATCAATTCAAATGAAAACAAACTTACACGAGCAAGTTCTTCAGAGAAAAATACATAACGTTAATTACAATTGTAGAAATTTACTTCGGACAAACTCTCGGCAATTCTAATAACTAGATCACAAACAAAAGTAGTTAATATGAAGGATAAAATACAGTAAACTAACAAATATAAGTATCGGAGTAACACAATTATGATGTCGATCGTAGATGATATTATCGTTAATCTAAACTTCGGTAACGACAAAACTAAACGTAATCGGTAACTGGGCATATAAATACATACGAACAATTTACACAGTACCCACTCCACACGTCTTGTTATTTAGGTACTTGCGTTTCGGAGGAATCAATCGTAGGTCAACGAACTTCGCAAAATTGGGTCATCAGTTCAAATCGGTTTCACACGAAATGGCGGTAAGGTAGAAATATGCAGGGCTTTTTTGACTGGTAATGGCGTCGAAATTTCAATGGAATTCTCTTGCATAATCTCGAAAATCGGGAATTCGCGTCTCCACGTAGAAATATCAATGCACAACCAGTAAGCAATTGGTAACTCCAAAATAAGAAGTAAGAAATGGATTATTTAAAGTAAAAAGATAATGCGTCATAAATATCATACCGTAAACGGCCTTAAACTTGTAAGATAAATCCGCAGAAATACGTCAGCGAAGTTGGAAGTAAGATAATAAGAGAAAAACTTCACTAATCTTAATACAAACACCACATATAATATCCCAAAAAGGTAGACAATAATGTCAAGTAAGTGTAATGGCTCAAGTATGTACAAGTCAAGATCGATTGCGGTACTATTGCATTTTACATTATTATTAGGTAAGGGTTTGACAAATATTTCGTGAGGCCCGAAACGGTATATAATTTACTGAATTGGTACAAGAATAATCCCATGATAATAACACTTATTCACTTAACCGCACTATTATATATAACAGTGGTTTTAGTTTTACCTTCATTGGGAAATTAGAAAAAAGAAATAATTCTAGGACAGCAATAAACGTCAAATAAAAAATCTTCGTAATTGACCGTTCGTGCAAATTGGCCAAAAAAAGTGAGCGAAGAAACTACCAATTTTGTGGCTTAAAACAACCCAATCTTTGAATATAACCTAATTTTATATTCAAAGACCCAATCCTCTGTACAGTACCATCCTATTTTTCAGATGTAGGTAATTCACGATTAATATTTCAGTTCTGCATGACTGCACGACTTTCTGTGTATACGCCGAGAGAGAAAGCTGATGAGCATTCGACTGCGTGTAAAACGTTCCATTTTCTATTGTTGTTAAAGTGTGAAAATTTATTTACTTTTAATGTTTGTTTGGAAAAGCAGTCATTAACCTTGTCCAAAACCGGATTATTAATGAGATTGGGTAATCAGGTTGAATCATCATATTTGGCATTTTAATTGGATTACGACAGTTACATTCACTCAAATAATTGCAGTGTTGGATATGGTACACATAGTTTTGTCATGTGGTGAATAAAAATTTCAAGGTCCTTATTTAATTTATTGGCCCCGAAACGGTTTCTTTATTCTAATATTTAATCAGT